GCTCACAGTTTCCACTAAACATAGCACAGCTTATGTCACCCTACAGAGAGCCTCTGACTGTTTTCTTTCTCTCTGCACAGGCAAAGTGTCTACTGTTTGAAGGGGTGAGGGACCCAACGGAATAAATGGAGTCAACAGCAAAAATGTTGTATGTGCTTTAAAAACATGATACTGTCCACTCTCGGTATTAATGCGCTCAGAAGATACTTCTCATCTAAAAGTTATGTGCAGTAGCTATTTCTGCTCTTAAACAACTCTGATTACACCTAAGTTTACCTTGTTTCATTTTGAGTTCATGTTTAATTTATGTGATATTTTTAATGATATGTTATTACAAATAAAGGCATGTGAACAAAGTAAGTCCTTTTTTTTAAAAATATGAAATTCAATACTCTTTCTCCCTATTGCAAGTGAATGAAGGCCTGTCTTTGACATATAGTTATCAATGATTCCACACATTTCCTGTAAGACTTCAAATTAAGCTGCAGGTGTTTTATATATTAATTATGAGCCATTACAAATAACATATTCAGGGTTGCTGGGTTGAGAAAATACCCTTTGACAGGCGTTTATCCTTTCTTTTAGGTAAAATGCAGCTATAAATGTTGGTAAACAATACTATATCCATAATGTTTGCAGTTATAAATCTAAATGAGTGTGTGTTATAAGCAGTGGTGTATAAAGTACCCAAAAGCCATACCTGAGTAAAAGTAAAGATACCTTACTGGAAAATTACTCCAGTAAAATTAAAAGTCACCTATTAGAATACTACTTGAGTAAAAGTCTTAAAGTATCTGATATTTATTGTACTTAAGTATCAAAAGTAATTTTCTGATATTAAATGTACTTAAGTATTGAAAGTAAAAGTACAAGTAAATGCTGTTAATAAAAAAGCAAAGGGTCAGAATTTTGAGAATTATGAAGTTTATTCTTTTAAGTGCTGTGGCACCATGACCAAGGACATGGAGCTGTGTTGAAAATAATTGGGTTGGCTGTGATCCATCCAACAGCAACAATGTTCAACATAATATATTGTACATAAGTATACTTTTGCATCTAATATGAACTTATCATCATAATTCTCCTAAAAGCAATATGACACTATGAAGGAGTTGTAACAGTGCGTTTATAAGTATGCTCATTCCAACTAGAGGATGTAGAGGGCAAATGCATCATATTGTGTTCAGCAAAGAATATCCACTTGATGCATCAGGTCAGTGTTGTGAGAAAGGACACTTGCCTTGTAAACTCCTATGGGCCTGATTTGAACACAATAGGCAAAGCTTTTGCTCAAGCTGAATCTGCTACCATCATAACTCCATCTGATCATCCACTAAATGACTCAAATATCAAAACATGATCAATACTAAAGCAGCACCGAAAGTAACAACCCAGTCATTACTGGAAACTGAAAAATGTCCTGTTCATCTTCAAAAGACAATTCTACTACATGTAGCTTCTTTACATTCTATTAGAATGTAAAGAAGCTACATTGTATCAGAATGTAACTTCTTTACATTCTATTAGAATGTAAAGAAGTTACATTGTATAGAATGTAACTTCTTTACATTCTATTAGAATGTAAAGAAGCTACATTGTATAGAATGTACATTGTATAGAATGTAGCTTCTTTACATTCTATTAGAATGTAAAGAAGCTACATTGTATAGAATGATTCTATTGAAGTTATTCCTTTTTTAAATGTTTTAGACGAGTCACTAATCACTTTAAAAGAGTGATTATAGCTGATTTAACTTACAGACATGAGATTGATCTTCTCATGTCACTCTCTTTATACAATGATATAAATTCATCCCCTTTTTATTGATATCTTACGAAAAGTTACTCCTCACTTTTCGTGCGTTTTTCCTGCAAAAGTCCAGCAACATGAGTCTGTTTTCTCTTGTTACATGCATACTGTCTTTTCAAAATAAACTTCCATCTTCACAGGAAACAACTAAGGTTTATGCGATGAAACTACTTAGTTAGGTTGAGGAAAAGATCGTGGTTTGCGTTAAAATATCTACGAAAGTGGCGTTGCTTAAGTACGGAAGTCACGTCACAAATAAATCAACATTGGCTTCTCGTTTCACGCACGGCACAAACTGCGGCCTCCTGGAGGAAACACCAGTGTTTGTTTGACCCATCCACCTCTCCTCATCCCACCCGTCCTGTGTGGAATTCTACTCGTGTTGTCGCTCGCTAGCTTTAGCATATAGCATCCTGGGCCTCACTGGGAATCTAAACACCGCGGCTTTGAGAGCACTTGTTTTTTGCGCATTAACGTGATTAACCAATGATTTAACTTGTAAGCTAGGAACACTGATTCACCAAACCTGCTTGCTTGCAGTCTCTGTTCCACCACAGTCCCCGACGCTGGTCTCATGATTCATTTTGTTTCTAAAGATAGATTTGATTTTGTAGCGAGTAACGAAGGTTTCAGGGGAAATGTATCGGAGTAAAAGTATCAGTTTTCTTTGCAAAATGTAGTGAAGTAAAAGTAAAAGTCAACAGAAATATAAATAGTAAAGTAAAGTACAGATATCCAAAAAAACGACTTAAGTACAGCAACGAAGTATTTCTACTTCGTTACTATACACTGGTTATAAGCAGCCCTTCTGACTGAAAACGTGATGAATCTGTGGCTATGTAGCTATGAATGTATTAAGAGACGTTTGTATATCATCGATATACATGGAGGATATTTTAATTTAGGTAAGCCATATTTCCATTACAAATACTGCATTAAATCATTATGTCCTACAAGTTGTAAAATGTACTATTAGCTGAATCCAGAACTATTTTTCTCAGCATAATGACTGTGCATGACACCTAGTCTATGGTCATATCTGGTCCTACTGGCTTCTTGCTAGCAGTATGCAGCTGTAATAATGGATATATTGCTTCTTATGCAGTCTATGATATATTGGCTGAAATTCCTGACTTTTATTATCCCATAATACACCCATGGGCTGTATGCTATAAAGCCTGTAAATACAGGACAAAAGAATAGATATCATTTTGTTTTCAAACGTTTTTCTGGCACAGAGAAGTGTCTCAGTGGCAGCTGTGGTTCAGCGGGTAGAGGTTCTAAAAATGCTTAGGATGGGTTAAATGTAGATGTTGACACAAAATGTGATCTGTCTCTGATTCCTGATTCTTCAACCTTTAGAGTCTGTAGCTGCTTTGCGCCCGGGCTTATTCTCAGAGGCGCTTCTATCCCAAGTGTTATATCTCCTGTTTGGACTTGAAGGCATTGTTTTCTGGTGATGTGCAAGTCCATCGTACTTCCAAAGTTTCTGTCAGATGAGCTGCTTACAGCAATCCAGCACAGACAGACAGGGATGGAGAGATGTCAACCCCTTTAGAATATTTCCACTGCACTGTATATTGGATGAGCCCCATGAACAGGTAAGCAAGAAATAAATAGATTAAGATGACTTGCTGAATTGACAAGTTAGATATAGCAGCCATTGGTCCAGTGGACTACCCCCAATGACAACAGCTTAACTACTTACATGGCTGAAGTATGATGGCCCTGAAGGCTATCTTTGAAAAATCATAGATGACACACACAAGCGAAATGTTCCTCTTAGTGTGGGGTGCTGTGAGATTAGTGTCCAAGTCCTGGGTGTGAGCACATGCTGAAACAGCAGAAAGTGAAGAATTAAATAACATACCACTGGTGAAAATGAAACCCCCTCAGGTTTCCTTTGTTGATTTCTGTCTCTGCTTCATCTTCTCCGTCAAGGTGGTTTGTGGTGACTCATGGGCAACTTTGGCATCGTGCTGCCCATGCCTGAAAGTCAAGCTTACAGTGTACAAAATCATCAACACTGACCATGCTCGCAAGGATACTGCAGCCTGAGATTCCCCTGACAGAATACACCATGACAGCTTTCTACTCCCCCTATGCAATCTCTAGTGCTAAGCCTCGTCTCTGTCGCATGCCGCCCCGGTGCAGCCGTAGTCTGCAGGTCAGGGTGCTCAGCAGGCAGCAGCATATTGCAAAGTGTAAAGAGATGATGCTAAACTGAAAGTTCAACCAGAAACACATTATGTGATGTATATCAGTTCAGGCCATTTCGGTGTGATTTGCTGACTTTTGGAATTAAAAAGTTCTCCATAAATGTCATGTAGGTGGGAGTGCAGGGCAACAGGGGAAGGAACCAAACATGGCACACAGGGACGGGTCAATGATTTATTATCAAAGTGAACATATGTATATGTATATGAGCTGGACATCAGACTGACATAAAAGAGCTTACTCAACAAGATCAGAAAGGCCAGCTGGAGGAAATATCGTCTTCTTACCTGCATCTCCCTCCTGAACTCAAAATGTATGATCACACATGCACAAGAGCTAGTAGACAAGTGGTCACCAATAAATAAAATGAACGTGGCATGGAATGTATCTGTTTTTAAAAATAAATCAACCAAATGAACAATAATTGTTCATTGTAATTTGGAGTGTTTACACTGACTGGCTCTCTCTGTGTATATGTTTCTCAGGGGGTTGGGGCTTGTGGGTGGAAACACTGACCTAGTTTCATTGTAAAGGGTGATCGGGGGAGGCAGTGTGTGTGTGTGTGTGTGTGTGCACACGATAAGCTAAAAAAACAAACATTCTTTTATGTCATAATGTAGATTAGTCCCAGATTGTCGATTCTGTCTCAGAATTGGCCTTGCAACAATACGGCTGATTAAAAACAATAGAGGGCGTTTTGATCCATTTTCAACCATGAAATGAAGATTTAAGTTTGGTAAGAAATGCCAATATTACCACCAGCGTTGATGGGTTTCATAAACGTCTTTCTGTAATTTAGTTAACAGCTTAACATTACGATTAAATGTGCAGTTACTCTTAAAAACAAAAATATAAACACTATCAAAAATAATTGTGGTTCATCATAGTATTTGACAGTGAGGGTCATACTATAAATTAGCCTGGGCACATCAGTAAAACAGCATCCTCCATGTTATTGGTCGCCAAAAGCCACCCATAGTCACGTGACTGAACAATGGCATTAGGCAGCATGGTGAGCCAATGGTCTGCCCCATCACCTGATTTCTATTTGAATATTGATGCTCCTCCAGCGGCCACCTTCCTTTGTTGTTATTGTCTGACATTGGACCATCGCTACTTGTGGGATATTTCTGCAACCAAGCCAGACGACCGAAAATGTCCGCGTTGCTGAAGCCGTTTACGGTGCACGAAGGACCGTGTGAGAGCTGCGGTGTCCGGAGAGGACGCCCGCGCTCAGCTCTCCATCAGCAGCCTTCATCGCAGCTTCTGTCCGCCGCCGTCGCCGCGACGGGGCTGGGCTCTCTGCCGGCCCACCACAAGTCGTACGCGGCGAGGAGAAACCTCGCGGCTGCTGCGGTCGGTGGGAGGAAAATCACGCATCCCGGAAAAGCCATCCTTGCAGGTTGATTTCGCAAACCAAATATTTGTTCAGCCCGCAGATTTTACCCCTCGTAGTCGACTATTGCTGTTCTGCACAGCACAGCACAGCCTGATCTCAATCTGTCGCCCATTAAAGCTATCCATGCAGAACTGGGTCAAACCGCACTCAGCCAGCAGTGATGCTACAGCAGTTGCATGATGTTGTTGCATGTCCTTTTCTGTATTGAGTCCTTTGCATTCATCTAAAAGCATCCATAAAGACTCTAAAAGATGTATGCTGCGTGTTGAATAGAAGCAAATATTCTGTAGCCCTCAGCTATTATTTCCAACTCCGTGCAGGCACTGCTGTGTAATTACACCACATTTTATCAAAACACAAAGTCAGGGATGATGTAGCATCAGCACCACTCTGCAATCAATCCATCTCATTTTAAAAAAAAACAACTGAATTCTGCACAATGAGTCAACAAATCATCACGGCAGTGTTTGTCTCCTTTTCCTCACTCAGGTGGGATCGCAGGAGGCATAGAGATCTGCATCACCTTCCCCACAGAGTATGTCAAGACCCAGCTGCAGCTGGACGAGAGAGCCAACCCGCCGAGATACAGAGGAATCGGTAGGTCACTGGGACAAGTATGACTGCTGCCTGACTTGACGTATGTGTGTGCCAATCTTCTGCTGGGTTACTCACTTATGGATGCTCTGTGTGTGTGTGTGTGTGCAGGTGACTGTGTGAAGTTGACTGTGCAAGATCACGGACTGAGAGGGTTGTATCGAGGTCTCAGCTCCTTGCTCTATGGATCGATACCCAAGTCTGCAGTGAGGTGAAGTTGCACACGTGATATATATATATATATATATATATATATATATATATAGTAGCTTTTTATCACAGATTTTATGTAAATAAAATGCACTTCTTTGCTAAATAAACAGAAAGGGGCTTCAAGGCTCCCTGCATCCTTTTGGTTTCGTGTCACAGATCGCCAGGGTTGTTGACTTGACATTAATTTAACAGTTGACTGATGTCAAAGCGGTGACACAGCATTTCTTGGTACTTAAGTGAGATTTGTAGGGCTGCAATTGATGATTATTTTCATTATTGGTTAATCCGCTCAATATTGAAACATGACCATGGAGCCATCAATTGTTTATTTGTACTTTAAAAATGTAATCAACTAACCAATTAATCAAATGTACCACTGCATGTCACAAACTTACTGTTGTGGTTTACTGATACTATCATTGAGTTAGTTGTTTGGAGTCAGAACATTCAGATTTAGTCAATTAACACACTATTGATTACAGTGGAATCCATTACACAAATGTTCCTCTATGTTTAGTTCATCCCTTGTTATTCTTGAATGTATCACCTTCCCACCGTTCACAGGTTTGGCACGTTTGACATGCTCAGCAACCCAATGCGAGACGCCACAGGCCGTCTCGACAACACAAGCAGCCTCTTGTGTGGCTTAGGAGCCGGTATAGCGGAGGCCATCGTGGTCGTCTGCCCCATGGAGACGCTTAAGGTTGGTGGAGCTGGATGCCGTTACGCATTTCTTTGACATTGATCTGAATAAACTCTGATTAAGGGTCCCCCCCCCCCCCCAGGTGAAGATGATCCATGACCAGTGTTCCCTCAGACCTCGCTACAGAGGCTTCTTTCACGGAGTCAGTGAGATTATCAGAGAACAGGGTAAGAGAGCAGCATGGAATAAGTGGCTCTCACACAGTTTGGAGCATTTCTTACTTCTTTTGTTGTGCTGTCCCTTTGACCCTGCTTCTTTTGACTGTCTTACTGGCAACGATAACTGAGTCTGTAACTACCAGTATTCATATGTGTGGTTCTGCTTTGACTCATTTAGGTGTGAGAGGGACGTATCAAGGTCTGACAGCGACCGTGCTAAAACAAGGAACCAATCAGGCCATCCGATTCTACGTGATGAACGCGCTGCGCAATTGGTACAAAGGTGAGAAAGCCAAACAAAGTTTGCAAAACAGAATCTGACTACCCTGTTTGAATGATGCATTCTCCTCCTATTTTCTTCCACTCTCCATGAATCTGACTTTTTTTGGATTTGGCCTCTAAGGCGACGACCCCATGCGGGTGATGCACCCGATCGTAACGGCGATGTTTGGAGCAACGGCAGGAGCTGCCAGTGTTTTTGGAAATACACCTCTGGATGTGGTGAAGACCAGGATGCAGGTAGGGAGCACACCCTGCGGTGATTTTATCACTGCAGTCACCGGGTGCCATTTCTAACTCGCTGTTTTCCGCAGGGTTTGGAGGCCCACCGCTACAAAAACACAGTGGATTGTGCCTTTCAGATCTTGAAGCAGGAAGGGCCACAGGCGTGAGTATCCCTGTAACCTGATGCATGCTGGGAAACAGTTTTCACCCACTGTAGACAAACCGTCGAACCTCATCTCTCTTGTCCCCAGGTTCTACAAAGGAACAGTTCCCAGGCTCGGCCGCGTGTGCCTGGACGTGGCCATAGTCTTCGTCATCTATGAGGAGGTAGTCAAACTACTCAACAACATGTGGAAGACCCAGTAGACCGGCCAGAGGTCCAGAGGGAAGCACAGACCAGTGCCTCATGCTACGCACAACTGAACTCCTCTCTTGCAGTTCTTACTAGCTCTCTGCAATGCCCCGAGCAGACGACCCTTCATCATGACCAGTTTCCACTCTGTCACATAAAACAAGTGCAAGGCACGTCCTAAAAACAGCGATAACAGAAAGGGAAGCAGAGTAGCTGCTTGCCCTTTTACATTTCTCCGCTCTCTTTCTCTCTCGCTGTCATTGCTTACCCAACTGTGCTTGTGGTGTCGTCACACTAATGCATCCGCGGTATCTCCTCGCTGTGTCTTGGTGATGAACTTCAGATATGGCTCACTGTGCATTTCACGGCCCGCTGCAGACAACTGCTGTGTATGGCTGCATTGATCTTCATTTGGTGTCCGTCCCGTTACTTGTCAGGGAAACACAAGCTGGTCTGGAGTCAGCACCTCTTTAACACATTGTAGGAAACAAATCCATATGTAGCAGTCATGCAGTCTTAAGAGATGAGCGTCAATAACGTACTTTAGTGAGCTCATTGTTGCATTTTCAACGTCAGGTTGTCAGTAGTGTGGTTGAGTTCGCTACAATTGCATGTGGAAGCTTTATTTGGGAATATTTGGCCTGTAATGCTTTGTTCAGACCCTTAGTCAGGTTGCTATTTCCATGCCGGCGCTGGTGTACATCCTGAAATATGAACGTGAATTCACTTGTACTCAAGATGACATGTCCGACTACGTAAGCCACACGACTTCAGTGCACTTTCCCTGTGCTTATTGATTCACTCGTCCTAAAGAAAGATATTATGTCACTTTAACATCTTTTGTTTACCTCAAGCTAACCTGCTTTACAAGCCTTTTGTACGCTAACTGATGAAATAGTTAATTAGCCATCTTGGAACGCACTCATTCTTGTCTTGGTGTTTATATATGTCGGGTGGCAACAAGGGGACAGTCGACGTGTCGGGAGGCTCGATCACATAAGTGACTATAGTACTTATGGTTTGGCTTTGACTGACCACACAGGCCTTGCACAGAAGCCTTTTGCTCATCTTTGCCAAACTACTTACGTAGAATCCCCAATGTAACATCGCTGATAGGAGCAAACGTTTATTACATTACACATTATGTAGAATCTTTGCTTTTGCCTTGCTGCTTTTCATGAACAGGCCAAAAAGCACGTGTACGTCTTTGTACAGCATATCAGATTTGATCGCTCACGTTTCAGAAGACGCTGTTGGGCAGAGAGGACTTGGTACGAGATCAGAAAACAATGAGGTTTAAAACATGGAGTATGATTTACAAGATCAGATGTGGAAACCTCTGAAAAAGTTAATTTATACAGAACATGATTCACTGGTTTCAATAAACTTGATTGATAAACCTGATCTGTGTGACTCTGGAAATGTGTGTTAAGACATTATATAAATAAAATGTAACGTAGATACTGTAGTAAATATGGACGAGCAGACTCTGCTTTATAATACGGGACTACTTTTATTTCTACCATGTTTTTTGGTAATGCTTTACTGAAGTGGCACCTGGACTGGAGAGGGGGAAAGAGGCAGAGTTTTATCTCCTTCACACTGACTGAATAGTTACATTTCTGTAAATTTAGGCTCCAGTAAATGTGCAGTAACATAAAATTGCTTTACAAAAAATGATGTCAGTCGACACTTTAGCGTGGCCGGAGAAAACTCAAAAGTAAGACTTACGAGACCTTTATGTATCTGTACTGTAAGCAGTAGTTCAATGATGTGTGACAAAATATCAAAAAGCCTCCGTTCAAAACTGACCAACATTAAGATTTGTTTATTGTCTTGTAAGTTTTGATTTTATGAATCGAAATCTGTCATGAAAATAATTAGAAGAGGACTAAATGCAATACAGCCACGCTATAAAGCTCCGAAGACGTAGAGTTAACATGAACAATGGGTTGACTTGTTGGTCCCCCCCACCACCCCAAAATGTTAAAATGATGCAAAAGCAATTTCCCTGGTTTTGGTAAAAGTTTGTTATGTAAATATTTATTTGTATCAATGAATAAATGACTTTTCCTCAGTGGGATGGAGGATCAGAGAGTTCAGAGCAGAACGAGGCTTTGCTGACCAGAGGAGATTAAAGGCTGAAGGTGCAGGGCGAGTGTGGTCGGCATTAACATCACAGAGGAAGGTCTTAAACGCTCCCACCTGCTGCTCCACCTGTCCCCTGCAGTATATAGTTCATCTAGTAAGGTGAAATTGTAATCTGTCAATGTATGCATCTCATTATATTCTGCATTCAGAAATGAATTAGTTGTGTGGGTGTGGCACTATAACAAGGCTTTAAACTTTAAGCTCTTTACATGTCAGGGCCCCCGGATGTACACAAAACAATATGTACATGAATGGAAACCCTTTCAATTTGAGACGCCAACACGGACATACATTTTAAAATGTAACTTGTGCTGGCAACGATCTCATTGGATGGAAGTTCTGATGATTAAGAACTCTCCCGTTTTAAACTCCCATTCCGCTAAACTACTTACAGTGTTCATATTCCCACATGAGGTTCAAACCTGGAGAGGGCATCTGCATCATAACACTGTTAAAAGCTCCTTGACACAATGCCATTTTTGACAGTGTAGTAAAGCCAAATGGGGGATTAGGTACAGCCTAGCCGCCTTTGCTCCAGCTGTCACGCTTCTTGATCGCAGAAGATGTGAGATCCTCGGCCAACGTTAGGAAGGAAGGGGAACGGAGGTGCGACTATCTTCTCCATCTGGAATTATAACACAAGGACAAAGTAGTTACATGTTAGGAAACATTCGTATTTAACTAAATGACAAAAAGATAGTTTCTCCGAATCTCACTCACATTCGGAGACATTTGTCTTTCCCGCCACTGGCCACTCTTTGTCCATCGGGACTCCAGTCCACTGCGTAAACCTACACACCCAAGAAAAGAGGCAATTAGACAAAAAACTAAAATCACCATCAATACAAAACTATTTGGAAGCAGCACCTTCCCCCCCCCCCCCCCCTTACCTCATCAGCGTGGCCCGGCAGGTCCATGTTCAGCTTCCCCGTCTTGACGTCCCAGACTTTAAGTGTGCTGTCGCTGCTGCCACTGACCAGCAGCCTGCTGTCTGCCGACCACGCCACTTGATACACGGATGCCACGTGGCCCCGCAGGGATATGAGGTACCTTAGGGAAAGTGGACAAGCAGGCGGATACATAAATACGCACACAAATCTAACGCCCACAGCACCATCGCCTGCACAACAGCAGTATTACACAGATTCATTCAGGATAAGACATTTTCTTACTTCCCGGTGCGTCCGTCCCAGATTTTAATGGACTTGTCGAATGAGGCAGAGGCGAGGAGCCTGGTGTCTGGGGAGAAGAGCACCTCGTTGACCAGAGCACTGTGTCCGGTCATCCTGGCCAGAGGCTTCTTGTCTTCTGCGGGGTTCCACATGAACAAGGTGAAATCGTCAGAGCCAGACACCAAGCGCTCTGGAGCCGGACCCTGCAGCACGACAACAAGAGTGAGGGAACTGACACAAGAGACAAGCAGACTTGAACACATCAGCACAGGCAACAATCGGTACTCACCCTAACGGTATTATATCTCTCCAAAGCTTTCTCCTTCAGCTCTTCCACTGGGGGATAGAAAAATGCTTGTTGCATGAAAACATCTAAGCCAGAAAAGTCTCTTCCTCAAAGAAGGTCACATGATCCTTACATGATCCAGTGAGGTCCTGGGGGTTGATAGTGGCGGTTGCAGGTTCAAAAGCTCCAGTGCGCAGGACGTAGTCTGTGCTGAGGGCCAGGGTGTTCACCCAGTGGGCGTGACCCTGCAGAGTCCTGCACTGGACACCCTATTCCCACAAACAGAGGTAAACACACATTAAGTCTGGCTTTGGTACACAGATGTCTCTTCCACGTATTCTGTCTGGCAATCAATATTTAAAGAAGTGTGTCACACACACACACACACACACACACACTTACATCTTTGGCTCTCCAGACTTTCACCGTTCTGTCCTGGGAGGACGTGTAAAGAAGTCCATCTCCTCCCCACTTGACACAGGTGACTGACTGGGTGTGTCCAGTCAGGATCTTCTCACAGCGTCCCAGCACCGTGTCCCAGACACGTATTGAGCCGTCCTTAGAGCTACTGGCTAAGTACCGACACTCTGCGTTACTGCAGGGAGAGGGAGATCAGAGAAGCAGTCTTCTGTTAGTCAATGCAACCTTTTTTTGAGTTTTTTTACAAGTAAAATCACAGAAATCACAGAAAATCACAAAGATTATGTGATACTGTATGGGCCTTAACCATTAAGTCCAGTAGGCTACCGCCCCATATCAGATCCTTTTTTTGTGAAAGATTATGTTCCAAGACTGGATTTCTATTTTTTCAGAACCAAACTCTAGGTTAACTCTCAAACTCTATGCTATTGTGTATGCTGGCTCACTGTCACTTGAAGAGGACTTAGCCATCGTTAAGGTCATTAGCAACACCTGTGCTTTAGGTCAGCATTAAACAGGCAGCAGTTTACAGAACCCATTCAGAGAAAGTGATGAACTGAGTGCTCACAGGTGGAGAGGTTCCCAGCTGAGCCAAGTGATCCACTTGCTGTGTCCGGTCAAAGTCTTCCCCATCTGTGTACCCGTCACCGGATCCCACAGACAGATCTACAGACACAATGCCACAAACAATAAATACAGCGTACAGGAGATGCATCTTAAATATAAAAAGGCATATTCTGTGTGTTGGAAGCTCACCTGACTGTTCTTGCACCCTGAAGCCAGCTTCTTTCCATCGGGTGACCAGGCGATGCTCAGTACCCAATGTGTGTGTCCTTCAATAAAGCAGATTACAGCTCATTCGTGTCTAGAAATCATGCATCAATCATTGGTATATAGAAGCATCGCTGTTCACGCTGCCTTGTAGAAGTTCTTTTTTTTTTTATACCTCTTGCAGTGTGGTGGGGCGTCTCAGTCGTCAAGTCCCAAAAACGTACCGTGGTATCACCTGAGCCGCTGGCCAGATATCTGAAACAAACAGGGACAATTGAATTAACAGCATATTTAAATCAACCCCTTGGTGTGTTCACAATGTAATTTGTAATTTCATCCCCTCTAATTGTTGTTATATCAGAAGGACTCTCAGATAAATCAGAGTACAAAGAAGCATGACAAGCAGGCAGCTGTTAATTCAGCGTTTGGAGTTACTCACTTGCCAGTGGGGCTAAAAGCACATGAGATGACAGCTTCTGTGTGTCCCTGTAGTGTGCTGGTACAGCGGGCCACAGCTCGGACCCTGAACACAGCCTGAGGTTGGTAAACCACTGGCACAACTTGCTCCGTCTCGATCCCGAGAGCCTGCACACACGATCCCAGACTGGACACCACCTCAGACTCGCCACGCACAAAAAATGCCAGTGGCACTGGCTCATCCTACAGGGAATAACAGCAAAACAACACGAGGGTTTTATTCATTGGGTTTTAAATGTCAGCTTGTAGTTGCATCTTTAATTATTTAATACATCTAAAGAAAAGAGAGTTAACACTCAAATAGTTAAGACTAAATGCTACATCTCTGTTATGAAGGATTACCTTTTGAAGCAGTGCATTGCAGACGAGCTGTAGTTTGTCTGGAGTGATGTCTAAAGGCACATCGAAAGGTGAGCCCAGAACCTCCCCTTCTTCATTCTGAAACTGGATCAACAGACGCTCCACGTCCTCACTCGTCATCCTCAGATTTGGATCTAAAAAAACATTAAGTTCACTTTACATATACGTATATTATACTTAAGTACATGCTGTAAACAGTGGGAGATCGAGGAGTCTTGAAGGCAACATTATAGCCACAGCTAACGGACGTAAACCAACGTTTCCTGACGTGATATCCATTACGTTAACTCTTTAACGTTACTTTAGAAAATAGGACAAAGAGCAACACATTGTATGGCCATGTTTAACATTGTTATTTAGGTTGAGACTAAATCGTACCACCTGAAATTAACTATTTAGCGCTTTACTTTTAGCTAGCCTATGTCGACCATCTATGGTGTCAACCAGTAACCCCCAAGCTAACTCCGCTAGCCTGCTGTTAGCTAACATTTTGGACACCTCGTTCCTTTTAGCAGCGATCGCAGGGCAGTAAGATGACCGCCATGTGTTAACACACCTGTGTCTAGTTTTATATGACATCGAATTGGCACATACATGTGCTAAAACTGTACCTGAAGCGAGATAGCGATGTGTTCAAACTCCCCACGTGTGAATCAGCGAAGAGCCTTTATAGAAGAGATACTCCAAGAAGCCGGAGTTGGCATGTCACTGAGCGGACTCGCGCAATGATTCATGGGAGAAAGATGAAGCGAAGAACCGTTGTTGTTGGTTTGCCAGTCTATGGCCGTGATACTTAACCCATTTTCACTTTAAAAAATGATATTTCTGTAAGTTTTGCTCGATGTCAACTTTCAAGTACCTCAAGAGAAACCCCAAAAAAGTTTCCACAACTTCTCCTCACACCACAACATTAAATTAGTATTATTAGTGTTTAATTATAGCAGTGAATAATAATAATGCTAATATTAATGATGATACAACATATATTGCGATACTAATAACAATGAAGATGATTATGACAATAACAATAATATTAATATAACACTAATGATACAATTAATAAGAATAATAATGATTATTTCTAAAATTATTATTATTAAAACATACACAGATGACCCATATCTATATCTTGAATACAATCAACCTCTACAATGAATATATCTAGATTCAAGCTCCCCAAATCAGAGTTGTTGATTGTAAGAGATGTTGTAGAATAGTATCATTAACATTGGATATGAAGATAGGTTGTACTATTTTCATATTGAGTACAATCACAAATGAATTACTTTAAATGCCAATGAACTCTCGCAGTCAGCTTTTAATTTTCAGTTTTAATTAGACCTGAAACATTTTTGGGGGGTTAATACATGAAGAGGAAAACTGAACTGTTTGTGCTCTGCTGCTCTGATATTGTTCACTCAATCAATTAGACACAATTTCACTATAACACCCTCAGACATTTTGACACCGTTTTTCTTTGACACAACAATCATCACATTTGCATTGCGATAGAAAAAGGCATCCTGTATATTGCACTAATGTGAGAAACTACATTTAATTGGTTTACAGCAAGATAGATAAATCATTTATTCATACAATGTTATCATGATTCTGTTTACTGCCTTTGAGTTTGTCATAATACACATTAAACTTATATCTGAATTGTTATAATGCAGTATATGACGCAAAACACCTCAGTGTAGAAGTCCACATCGACATCCACATCTAACATTAAACGCTCTTCGAGGACTTCATGTGTCCATCATATTTTATATATATTTCTCCCATCTGTATCATTTCACCCAAAGACACAATCAATAATCCACAGCAAGAATTCAACAACTCAATTACCAGATGCATCCTTTTGCATTAAAGTAACAGCATCAACATAGCCTTTTCTATACAGTTCCCTATGATTGGTAGATCTGTCTTACACTTATTGTACAACCCTCTGCACTGACACTAACAGAGACCAAATCAAAACATAAAAGTGTATTTTCAAATATAATTTGACCAAGGACTGTATTGACCTGCAGTGTATAATCCACTACACTTACAAACAAAACTTAATTTACTAACAGGCAGAAAAAGGCCCGTGGATAAGCTGGACGGCTACTCGTTACAGCAATACATCTTATTTGTGGAGAAAGCGTTCCAACAAGAGTGAATCTGACTCAAGGTGAACTCCTTAAAGGCAGACTTGGAAACAGTTTCCAGTTCATGTGCTAGCACAGTGTGGAGGCCATTATTTACTGACAGAATCAGCTTATCTAGTAGATGATTTGATCTTGGGGAATTTGAAAGACACACAATCAATTCTGTGTAAATTTCCAGGGGAGAGGAATATGATTTGGCACTGTGGTGAATTTCTTCCTATTAGTTGAGTCCATTGATGTTTTCAGGAACGAGACCTTCCATGACGGCACGCTTTGACTCCAGGATCTGCAAGATCGAAAGGACACAATCCTCTCCTTAGTAAACAACTGATAATACGTCACTGGCATAAAACAAAGTATAATGTAACAGTGGTACACTCACCTGGAAGTTAGCACTGAGGCCGATGATGCTTTGCATGTTTGTACTGTAGTAACCCAAAACATAATGTCCACCCAGCAGAGGGATCTCGTCCTTATCAACAGATAGCTGTAACCAAAACATACACATTCATAAAAATGAAGTCAAAATTCTTATATTATCTGTCCAAACATTCCACAAATGTGTCACTTTCACTTTACCTGAATGACTTCGTTTGTCTCTGGCAACTCTTCCTCTCTAACCCAAACAAAGGTTTCATAATCGAACGCACTCTTGAATCCCACCTGCGGGAGAATGACCCCAAGAGTTAAAATCTTTCTTGGATTATATGAGTTTGTTCGTTGCCCCCTCTATGTCGGTCTCAGTACCTTGTACAGGCCGATCCAATCCCACGTGGAGGACATGAAGTCCTCCTGGATGGTGTAGTTAAGAAGTGCCTCCTGGTCGGCGCTCCATACACCCAGAGGAGAGACGTGCACCAGTGGTGTGTCAAAGCACTTCCTCACCTGGGGGAGGGACAAGAGGAAAGAGAAGGAGTTTAATAATGCAGAGAGCAGTGGTTGAATCAGAGGGAAAGAAGCAGATTTATACAGTATGCACTGTTTACACGTTTTTGCACAGACACAAAACTAGTTGTGGCACAAGCATTGAAACCACTAACTCATGTGTCCTGTCTAGTGTTCAGGTATGCTAAACCATGCATATGGTCTGCATTACACTAAGTTTGTTTATTTTGCAATAGCTACTGTACACACAGTTATCTACGTTAGAGACTTCATTCAGAAACTAAGCCTGTGCGTGTTGTTGGCTTAAAACTGCAATCAATTACCAATCACCTGCACCCAGAATGCACCTGTGAAAACACCTGTCACCAATTAGATCACTTAGAAATCAGAGCTTGAACACTGTAAATAGGATTCAGGTTTGTTCTTTGGCGTGCACAACAATGTAGGACAATTCCGGAGAGAGAGTTAGAGGACTGTTATTGCAATATAATACTGTGTTTTGTTTACAGTACCTATGTTCATGTCATCTTCAGTTGTGTGATACTGTTGTGAGTATTGAGAATAAACAAATGTGTTTGTTTCCCCACTGCATTTGTTCCCCATAGTCTGTATCGACAGTATGCAACAAATGAAAATGCCAAAAACTCTAACGTTTTATACTTAGCACATCAGTGTGGAGTTGGCATGTGGAAAGAGCTATTTATTTAATGTGCGTGTTTGAAGTTGTGATGCAAAAATGCCATTTTCAAAAGATGTAAGATATTTCGTATTTTGTGTGTAAAGTGCCAACAAAGGCGGCCCTAGTTTCAGAAATTGTGTGAAGTCCTCGCGTCCTACAGAGAGCCTGCTCTCACCTCCAGACTGAAGGTTGCAATGACAGGCTTGTGGTCACTGACTCCGTAGCTCATGTCACTGGTGTACTTGTCCTGAGTGAGCAGGAGTGGATACTCATCGAGACCATCATCAGTAGAAGTCGACGCCTTCTCATCATCCTCCTCTGATGGCGGGGTTTTGGGTTTGATGCGCCAGAGGATCCGATCCGTCCAGGCCGGTTTCCTCTTCTTGCCACTGAGCAAAGCAATGCCAAGTGTTGATCACACAGTTTCTCTGTTTCTAATGCTAGATATGTCACGTTTCCAACAATTATTATTCTTAAACAAAAATATTAGAGACAATAAAGATTACAAACCACACACACACGTGCAGTGCAGGGCTATACCTACGGTGAAGCATACTGTGGATAAATAATGGTTGTAAGGAGACATGGTATTACAGCTTGTGTATATGCACATTCACTATAGAAACACATGCATTATGTAAGAACAAACAATGGGGTGCTGGGTGGAGGAGGAAGTTGTCTCAGGATCATGAATTTTCAGAACATGTCTGAAATTCATGAAGGTTATTATATTCACTAAACCCCATTTGTGTTCTGTCATTTATATCAGTGTCTCCAGTTATTTTGTGATTATATTAAACCTTAAAGGGGCCTATATTGAATAGTTTGGGGCCCGCTCTTATTCCTACAGGGTATATCTATGGAGACACCCACCTTGGCGGGTCTAGCTCCCTGTGCCAGGCCCCCAACCACACAGAGAGCAGCCCCCAGGTGAGGGAGGTGAGGAGGAAGAAGAGGGTGGTGCTGCAGCGCTGCAGGGGCCTGGGTCTGTACATGGTTAGGGGCAGCAACACAGTGCTCTTTCTGAGAGAGACACATACATGGTGCTAGTGTCATTGATGGATATGACTCACAGAAAGAGCTGCTCCCAAAATCACCTGTACGTCAGGGGTTTACTGCCCTGGCTGCTTTGGTTTCCTGTTAAGCGTGTCTCAGGGGTTACATGTGACGTTTAGAGACACATTTAACTGTCAGGAGAAATATAGAAGGGGGGGCTGTGGCTAAGAAATAAGGGAATGTGGGGCATGCAACACAAAAACATAGAGTGCTTCTTACGCAAAACCCAACCATGTCTTCGGAGTGCTTTGCAGAATTTCAACGGAAACAAGAGAACAGTTAAAGTTTGAGAAATGTGTCTATTTGTGTGTTGTATATTCGTTTTCGGCACACGTTACCTGGTATCATAGGTTTCACCGTTACGGTCAAACTTGTAGGTGGGTTTAAAGTTTAAAGGCCCTTCCTCAAATTCTTGCAGGAAAGCTTCCTTCTTCTTCATCATGGTGAGCTGCAGGAACATGAAATACATTTGTGAGTGTGTGATACTATATGTGTGCGTGTGTGTGCGTGTGCTTATTTCGGCACATCACCTGGTCTTTGTTCCACAGCAAATTAAGGCGCCCACTGTTGATGGACGAACGGAGGAAGTGCAGGCCGTGGTCTGCAATACGGAAGTTCAGGTCGCCAAACCAGAACACCACCCTGTGGGAGAGGAGATGGAGCTTCGTTTTGACCTGTTACACAACATGTATTTCAGAGTGTGTGATTGTCAGCATGTCGGCGTAGCTGCACTGACTTGTGATCCCGGACATTTGGGGTGTCAGAGATGTCAAAGTCTTGTGTCTCCAGGATGTACTCAATCTCATCAACACGCTGCAGAGCGTAGTTCACGTGAGCTGCCAGGTGGCAGTTAAGAAAGCACACCATGTGGCCATAGAAGGAAAAACGGACGGTCACTCCTCCTTTATTACCCTGACACAGATAAACAGAGGGGGACGGATACAGCATGTGAACATAAAGTTGGTTTCCAAAGTATAAACTCCATATTTCTGATCTTGTGGGACTAATGATGCAGTAAAAATATGGATTCATTTTATTGCAGTATTTACAAGAAAGTCAAACATACTGTAGTTTCAGCCAGATAATGTTTTTCCAATATCTCTAGCAAGAGTTTGCCCCAACGCACCAGTTCTACTGTTCTTTGTTAGTGAGTTCAACCAGTCAAAGCTGTTGCACATCCCACTAAACAAACACAATAGGCCTTACATAATGTGTTTAAACTCTGCAGTATCTAATGCTGATGGGATTTCTGGTGTGCAGAGTTTAACAGTGTTGCTGTTGATAAGGTTCAGGGATAGCCAGCGCTTGTGATAACCTACCCAGTACCCAAAGAAGCCAGTACGAGTGTAGGTGGTCTGGATGTTTCTGATGAAGGGGAGATGAAATTGTTTGGCAAAAACCAGCAGCAGCAAACCCTGCATCCTCATTGATGTGACCTAGACAGAGAGGGAGATACATTTCATTAATCCTTTGTTATATTGTTTGTTAACTTTCTTTTGTAGTTTTTTTTATCTCTCCTATAAAATGTTTTGGTTAAACTCAGTTATGTGTAACATTATGAGGAACACTATTTTGCATTAAAGATAACATCTGAGAGCATTTGAGGATTTTTTATCATAGTAGCCCCATAGGTATAAAAAACACTATATTTTCCCACCAGCTTAATTAATGGATCTAAATGTGTAACTTCTGTTCATATCAGTCCACACCTTACTATTTCCCTTTTTCTCCCTCCGCCCCATCTCACCTTGACGAAGCCTCTGGGTGCCAGTGTGTCCATGAAGACGTGGCTCCAGGCGTCCTCCACTAGCAGGTCAGAGATGAACCTCACAGGGGTGGCATTCACCTCCTGCAGGCTGACACACACCAACACAAACCGATGAAAACACACAACAACACTCACGTTTGTGATCTTTTTCGTCTTTTCTTGACAAAGCAATAACGAGACACTTTAATCCTTCAGTCTAATTCCCGGCAAAAGTTTTAAATTCCAGTTTCCATATTGTTATTTCTCACCCGATCACATAGAGGTCTCCAGGGGGCTGGACATCCAGCTGCAGCAAAGTGGTGACATCTTCAGGGGGCTCCGCTGTGGCCACGTTCCAGGTCACTATGTGCAGCCTGTCAGTGTTTGATTATGACAAGAATTGACCAAAGTGATGGAAAAAGAGAAAATACTGACAAATTGTTGCAAATACACTTGTCTCAGAGTCATTGTCTTTAGCTATTGGTGGTATGTAAATGTAATACTACAAATGATAAACCTGGAATACAAGCCATTTCGATCTTGACAATAAATTCTAGTTTATTTATTTTTTACTTTATTTCTATTTCTACTTTCAACAACATATAAATAAGCATTCAACAATTAGTTTGAGGTATCGGGCATTGGAAAATACAAAAGTAAAAATACAGAAGAATATAAATAACATAGCTGTTTTTTTTCTTTAATCTTATAATTGGAAACCACCAAGAAGAGTCAAACCGTAAAGAAATACAGACAAACTCAAACACTTCCTGCCAGTGTATTTGAGCAAACTTGTGTATGTGAATAAGCATGTCAACCTGAATGCATCTGTGGGAATGAAGCGCCCGCAGAGCTGAAACGCTTCGTCCAGAGTGCGTGACACTTCTTCACTGGCTTCGTCATCAGAGCCCATGTCCTCTATGCAGGTCAGCAGCTGAGACAAACGCTGCCGGAGGAGCACCTTGGAACTCGATCCCTGAGACACTGAACTGCTCATGCTGTCAGAGCGCACGCGTGGCGTGTCTCTAAAGGGGTCCATCTCTAAATCCTGGTGTTAGTTTTGTTACCTGTTTGTCCTTAGGGTCAGGAAGGTTATATGAGATGACTAAAATAGAAAAAGAAAGGTGCTGTCCTTTCAGGGCAAACAAGCAAAATCCAGTGGAAGAAATTCCTCTGGCTTTATTTCTCCTCAGACTTCTTTGGCTGGTTTGGTTGCAGCCATTAAAGCGGCCCACTCTGCTCAGGCCACTGGAAGTAACGTCAACGGATTCCTTGTTAGTCAAATCTCTCTTCGGGCAGCTTCTGATTTACGTCGACCGTATAAAAAACTCGAAAGCACTGGGCAGAGTTTTGTCTGTAGCGGCGCAGTCCTCTCTGTGGCAGAGTCCCGTGTGTTCATGCGGCAATCGGAGCAACGACTGACAAAGCGGTGGGGTCGACTCAGGAATGTGGGCAAGAGGGAGTCAGATTTGGACGATAATCGCAGGCAGGAGACGGGCATGTGAACATGTGTGTGTGTTTGTCTGTGAGTGTGTGTCGTCACAGTAGAAGTGTAGAAGAGAAGGACTGGAGGCTGATCCTCCATCATTGTGAGTGGTGTTGCAAGACTTGAGTGACCCTTCAGGTCCTTAAGAGGTTTATTAACGGCATTCTCTCTATCAGCTGAGGGCACTGAACAATGCATGCAACCCCGCAATTACAGTCATGCATTCGTGAGGGGACAACAGCACACAATAGCATTAGCTTCTTTTGGCCTTAATCCAGTCTCTTCTTATGTAGGTGAAAGGTTATCTCTGAAACCCACAGAGAGGTGGGGGGTTCAATTCAGTTTTGTAAGCTCTGACATGGATGTTTTATTCTGAGAACAGAAGCTCAAATAATTCTAATCAACAAGTGTTACAGCACATTTAATAGCGGACACATTGCATAATAGATTCATGCACACAATTGATGAAGCAATCTGCAACTCTGAAGCATTTTGTGTCATATTTAAATGGTTTTGCAAAGTTTAACTCCAGAATAAAGTAGTGGAAAATATGTCTCTCTATGAAAAAAATACTAGGATTAGAAATAGGAGGATACTGTTTTATAGTTTTACACATTGGCTTCAATAATTTGGAGATCCTAAACTATATGCATTACAGTAACAATGTGGCTTTAATGCATCAAATATCATATATTCTCTTCAACATTTACCCTTATACTTACAGAAAACAGTCTTTCCTTGTTGGATTGACTACGAACAGAATAATATAGTTGCTGTGATAATTTATAGAATATCTTGGAAATAATTAAAAAACATTTTTCAGACATTGTGTTGATTGTTGTCACAGGAGTAAAATATTCCAAAAGGAATGGAAATGAACTGTATTGCCCTATTTTGAGGATTACATAATTGAGTACAATTTTGGATAGTCCTGTATCTTACTGACAAATGCCTTTATAGTATATGAGTAAATAATGACTCTATAATCTATAACTACTCATATGAAATCATTTCTGGTTGAGTCACTGGTACAGCAGTGTTCAAACAACACATCATAGCAGAAAGTAAACAACGATGTTACATTTTGGAGAGCTGTGGGGGACAATTGGAAAAAAAGCAACTAGACGAGATTGCCTTCGTACAAAACAAAAAATGCTAATCTTGGGTGCCCCAGTTCTCCCTGCCACTTCATGTAACAGTGTCACATGCAGAGACTTATTGCACATTCTTTAGCAAGCAGAATTGTTAAGTGGATAACCTCGGGGGTTCACCGGTCCAGTCAGAAATTAGGAATTGGAGGCTATTTAAGTTTTATCACAAAGCTCTGCAAAGACTCAGAGCCTGCAGCCACAAAGCTACTTAAGGTTATCCAGATACCGTAGAGGTGGGTTATACCCTCTTTCTGGACTCTCTTGGTCTCTGCATACACCCTTCTCTGCCTGAAGTCTGTGCTTCTCTTATGATGACTTTCATCACCATTGTGCCTTTATTGTTCCGTCCTACTTTTTACGTCTGCAAGACCATTAGAAGGCAATGAAGAGGGTTTATTTGGGATTCTGATCTTACCTGCACTGGTCTCTCCCACCACTTCGAAATCTTCCAGTGCTCATGTTCTCCCCTGTTGGAACACACAAACACATGTATGCCGAACAAAATGGAAACACACACACATGCCAAGCTAAAATACTTGTTTCTATAAGAGCCAGTTTAAAAGGAGCACAGACCACTGCCCAATAAAACAGACCTGACAGGGATGCCTGAAAGTCATTTCTGAAATGGCTTTGTAATCCTGTCACATCACTGTTAGCTTCATCCACGTTAGAGTGGAAATGCCCTGAAGGTCATATGGAATAACAGAGACACTTCACCTGGGAGCCATTTTATAAAACTTGATAAACAGATTGTGATATGTTTTGAGGGTGAATCTCTGGCATTGGGATCATTTAACGTTAGTGGGTTAAAGTCTAAATGAATAGTGAGCTGAATAGCACATACTGCAGGAACAATTCAGAGTTGAGCATTAATTCAGGTAGGCTGTGTGCAAAAGGAGCTTGTGGTTGAGCAGCATTGAAGTCCAAAGCAGGAGAGCAGTAATTTGAGGCCCTTGAAGTGTAGTTAACGTTACCGGCTAATTACCTGGATACTAAAGTATTCACCGTCTGTGACTAGTCTGTAACAGACACACTTGTTTTAGTGATTTGTGAGGACTTTGTGTCAACTCAAAACTGCATTGGTGTTAATGGAATTTTTTTCCATTTGGGGGCAGCAAAACAAGCTAAAAACACGTTGAAATATTATCACCTTTTGGCTGAAATGTTAACAAACTAGTTGGGTTATTGCACATGCAGCAGACACAGAGCTGCATTAGCATTAATTTGGAGTCGTGTCTCTGGTCACCCGACAAATGTCCAATATACAGTGGTGCAGGGATGAAGTATTTTTGCAGGCCAACCCCGGAAGTTAGCATCGCACTGACTTCCTCGACAAAAAGCAAGTGGGATTTTTAAATAGAATTATTGCAGGAAATAAGCTCTGTGGCAAACACAAGTTTATGAAACGTATTTCGATCAGCGAAATAATCTTCACAAATGAACATCACTTTTATAATTATTGAAGCGTAATTGCAATCGGCAGAAGTAAAAGCTAGTCGCTAACTTTGTTTGTCTGTTGTTTGGCGCAGGGCAGCTAGTGTACAGTTGTTTTATGGAGAACCAAAACAGTAAAGACATGGGACTTAAAACTAACTGAAACATGCTAATATGCTAAGAGCTGAAGGAAACTGCAGTCACATGATAATTATTTTAGGGTTCGTAATTACAACTCCGAAAGCTCCTCTCATGTTTTAAAATATTGATTAGCGTAGATTTAACTATGTAACTGCTTCATACCTCAACCTGACCCCCATAATGTTAGTGCTAAACTGCTAAACTAGTTTAACTAGTTTCCAGAAGGTTGATCATGTAACTCATGTGAATGGGTTAGGTTTGTTAGAATATTGTTAAAACACACACACACACACACACACACACACACACACGCGCGCGCACACACACACACACACACACACACACACACAGATACACACAGACTAATTAAGAGACTGGATTTTTGTAAAACCATACAGACACTGAGAGTGGAAGTATTACAGAGGAATACTAATTGTACCAGGATTGTCCCTATGCTAGATTTTTCCTAAAACCAATTCCACACAGTAGAGTTTTAAGATTTTCAAAATAATGGCCATTTTAACCACATTCAACCCATGTTGCCCCTTTAGGAAACTTCTCTATACAGTTCTCTACTTGGACAGAAGTAAACACATTTGCCTCCTCCACAATGCCCTATAACTTGCAAAATAACAATATCATGATAATAACCTGAAATTATTCTTTCTTCCATTTTTCATACCAGCTGAAAACAAAAACACCATCATCCATTCAGTACCTTTATCCATGTGTCTTTCTTGTGGTGTCCGGAAAAAGCCGCAGACCCCGTGAGCGCAGACGACAAAGGTCTCCAAAGGGGAGTCAAGAGACTGGATCTGTTTTCCTACGGTGAGTCCCGTTATTAGACTTGATTGTTCTCTTTTTGGTTCCCTCACTTTGCTCTCAGCTGCCTCAGCTCCCTCACACAACCTGCTCTGGACTTAAAGCGTAACATCGGATCAAGCTATTAACCAGGGTTGGTTAACAGCCCGGTGAGAAAGTATTATCTTATTCATGAATGGACATGTCTGTTTATTGAATGCCACCATGACGCATGGTATTTGTTGCACTAAAGCCCTCTTTGTATGTCCAGTAATAATCCCGACAGTATGGAATGTGTACGGTGCTCTGCTTGTGTGCTATTGTAATCAAAGTGCACTCTGGAAATAGCCATTCTGGGAAATAATAAACAAAAAGGTCCCTGGGAGTTCTTTTCTTATTCACATTATAAGCTCTGGTCTTAATGAAGTCACATATGGCAGTTGAAAACATGTGATCTCCTGGGTTTGGATTTAAAATATTTTAAACAGCAACAAGTTTTACACATACTTACACTTTCTTAAAACTCAAAAAAACGCTGTAAGAGTTACCCAATGACTTAGTTAATTTAATATATCGTCTTTATTCACGTTCATGCTAAGAGTTAGATAAGAAAATCAATACCTTTCTCATATTTGTCTGATGAGTATTAAGCTATAGTCAGGAAACTATTAGCTTAGCTTAGCACAAAGACTGGAAACAGGGGCAAACAACTAGCGTCAGTCCAATTGTAAGAAAAACTACCTACCAGTCCCTATAGCTCCACGAACACATGAATAAGTTAATCTACACTGGCAGTTCCATGAGCTGTTAGCGGTTAGCCAGCTTTTGTCTCACAGTACAATAAAAAGCATTCACATCATAGCATATGTACAGTTGCTTTGCTTCTTTTTATTCATTTCTTTACGTCTCCAATGTACAGTAGTGTTATTGGTAGATGACAAAAAGGCACAAATTCACAATAAAAGAAAGAAAAACAGGAGACAATTTAACAGGGGTGACAGAGTAAGAGAGAGTAAGAGAGCGAAAGAGAGATTTTAAAACAGTTTGGGATCGTGGAATCATTTGGTTTCATATTCTGATTATAAATCGAGGAATCTAACAACAGATATCTATGAGATTGTCTCTGTTAAACCATGTTCTCTCACAATTTTGTATGGACCTAGTGTCAGTATCTGTTTTCAAACAACCACATCTAATCGTCTTTTTTTTCTTCCTATCTAGCTATAACTCCAACCCTCCTGCTCCGAGTGCTCCTAAATGTAAAATAATTTCCCCTCAATCGGCCATCATAAACCATAGGAGGGGAACCTCTAACTTCCACCGAGGCTGACGCCATCAGCTAATTACGTGGATCAATGAACTGACCCAAGCTGCTGTTATATGTTCCT